GATTTACCTGTTTTCTATACAAACAGGTATAAATTATTAATAAGACCAAGTTATTATTCATACAATGGGGTATATTATTCAGAGGTTATAAAAAAAAGAATGACCTAGATCTACATTTATCAACATAAAATGCAATATGGAGAGAAAAAATCACCATCCATACAGTGTAATATTAATAATGCAAATATTAAAAATATACACTCTATTTATGAGTGCATGCAGATGACTAAAAAGAGTTATTTGGGTTTATGGGAATTCTGCACCTCAATTTCAGTACAGTGATTACAGTGGGGTATGGGGAAAAGCAACAGGAAGAATTGAGTTTTATCAGCATTTGTAATTTTTATTTTCTAAAAATATCTAAACAAAACATGGGAAAATGTTAACATATCTCAAACCTAGGAGACAAGTACAAAATTGTATATTATCTTCTGTACTTCTTATTTATATTTGAAAGGTTTTATTACAAAAATATTTTTAACTTATATTTGAAAAGTACCACTTATGCTCAGTTTCTGTTGCAAAAATTACTTTGTGTTGATGTGTAAAAAGAAGTTCAATTCTAAGTTCATTTAATTATAAACACATTTTTGTTTTGTTTTTTTTTATGTTTACTTAAATTAATATGTATATAAACATAAAAATTGTAATATTGATGGGGTACCATATGATGTTTTGATACTGGTATATATTGCATTATGCTTAAGTCAGGTCTAACACATCAAACATTTATTACTTCTTTATGATGAAAACTTTCAGAATCCTTTCTTCTAGCTTTTCAAAATGTGCAATGGCACATGAGAACGCCTTACTCCTGACTTTATATAAGCAGGTTTTTCATCTCCCTGAAAGTCCGGCAAAATATTCAAGATATTCATAAGTCACAAAGATAAGTGACATTTTTTTTATTATAGGAGACTACCTTATGCATGGCAAGACATCTATTATCCCTGGCCTTTTTGCCTACTAAATGCCAATTGTGTCTCCCAGTGATTGTGTAAACAACTGTTATGGTTTGAATATGAGATGAAAAGCTCATGTTAGGCAATGCAGGAATGATCACAGGAAAAATGATTAGATCAAGATAACTGTAGCCTTGTCGGTGAAGTCATTAATTTCATGGACTAATAATTAATCCAATTTGAATGGATTATTGGGTGGTAACTGTAGGCAGGTGGGGCATGGCTGGAGGAAGTAGCCCCCTGAAGGAATGCCATTGGTGATTATATTCTGTATCTAGCTCCTCTCTCTGCTTTCCTCTGGCCATGAGCTGAAGAGATTTCCTCCACCATGATCTTCCATCATTACAGTCTACCTCACCCCAGGGATAGAACAATGGAGCCAGCTGACCATGGACTGAAACCTTTGAAACCATGAGCCAAAAAGTTTTCCTCCCCTAAGTTGTTTTTGTCAGGTATTTCCGTGAGGGCAATGAAAAGTTCACACCCCTCCCCCAATTTCTCAAATGCCCTCTAAGGGTAGTTCTATCCTTATTGAGTATTCCTGCCCTAAATGTCTCCCCAACTTATCAATAAATGTGCAATGCTCCATCTCTTCTTTGGGAAACCTTTTGTCTATATATGGCATGGCTGTCAAGGAATCTTCCAGAACTTTCTACTTACTGGAAAAGCTCCCAAAACACTACTTGGACCCAAGCCTGCTTCTTGCTCCTATTCTCTGTGGCCTGAGATGATTTTTCTCTCCTCTTGTGAGTTTTGCTACCCTCTCATCCCTCAGGGTTCTATTTCTTCCTTGACTGGTTAGAGTGTAAGAGAGTCTTGCCAGCTTCCCTGCTTTTTCCTGAGATAACCTTGGTGAAAAGCAGTCTGATGTAGAGGGAGGACCTGTCGGGGCATTGCATTAATCAACCTCATATTACTATAATAAAATACCCATCAAGAATACTTAAGAGGTCAGGAGGAGATTTATTTTGACTCATGGTTCCAGAGATTCGAGTGCAATCAGGCAGCTTCCCATTGGTTTGGGCCTCTGGCATGGGTGGCCCACTGTGGCAGGAGCACACGTACAAGTGAGTGATCACATCTGCAGACAGAAAGCAGAGATGGATGGGGATGGGTGAGATCCTTTCAAGGACACATCCCCCAAGGACCTAAGGAACTCCCATAAGGCCCCATCTCTTAAAAATTCATAGCACCTCTTAGAATGACCACCCTAGGGCCTAAAATTTTACATATGGGCCTTCAGGGTCACTACCTATGTTCAAACCATAGCAGGCATTGAGGCAGACACACCTGGGTATGAAGCCTGGCTCTGACATGGAATGCCTCCCTCCATAATCACTGTTCTTTAATCTCTCTGGACCTCGCTTTCATTGCCTATGAAGTGGGAGTAATAATTACTACTACAAATACATATTGGAAGAGATTGAGTTAATATATTTTTCTTTTCACTTTCTTTCTAAAGTGTCTTAACAAGGACAGTGGGGAAATGGGATACTAGCTGATGATCTAACCGGTGGATGATATTTACTATCTGAAGAAACTTACCTGGGTGCTATGTCTGGGTACCAGAAATGGCCCCTGAGGGTCAGGGCTTCACATCAAAGCCCCTAAAGTCAGTAGTGGGGCACAGAGCAAGGGAACCAAAAGGAAGTCAATGATCAGAAACTGCTCTGCACACAATGTACAAAAAAATCATCAAGCAAGAATATGGGTGGCATTAGAACAAAATCCATTGATAGTACCCATATTGAGTCTAGAGCCTTCCCGTATGATATCCTATTGAATCCTCTCATCTTATTTAATCATCTCTTAATCCTATGGTATGAGTATTCTCAGCCCCAAACTTTCTGAGGTTGAATTCTTGCTTATTAGTATTTGACCTCAGCAAATCATGCACCCAGCACTCAGGTTCACCTCCCTCATCTTTAAAGCGGTAGCAACAATTTACCTGTTTTGTTAGATTTTTATGAGGATTAAGTAAGTCAATGAATATAAAGCATTCAGACAGTACCTGAAGTATAGCCAAACCTATGAAAGCCAAGGTGAACATCATTTTTAGGTAGGTGAGCTGTCACACAGAGAAATTGAGCAATGTCCCTCCAGTGCAAAACATTAGGCATCTAATTAGAGTTTGAGGATGGGCCATGGGGCAAGTATTTACTTAGGACTCTCTAAAATTTGTTTATTCACAAAGAGACACACTGTGGAACAGTAAACAGAAAGTTTTTTGTATGCTTCACAGCTCTAGGATGAGCAGGTTATGTAAAATTTTCACATGTTGAATCGTGAATGCCTTACAGACACCCAAAATAGACTTTGTTCTATTGTTACACTTGCTTTTGTTGCCTCGAATTTCAAGTATTATTTAACATCTTCAAGGTTTCTTTTTCTATAATTAATTGCACTGTGAAGATTCAATATTGTCTGTGCACAAGAATAGAGTACATTGTCATTAAGCTCTCTACAGTATGTTTTAAGTTCACCATTTAGGTAAGTTTGCAATATAGTTAACAAGTGCCAGTTTCATATTGTGAAATAAAAATAATCAAGTCCCTCAACATTGCCTATGAACAATACCCTTCAAACAGAAAAGACAGGTCTTCCTTAATGGACACATTGAGACTCTATTCTATGACATCAGGTTGTTGCTTCTGTAGGATCTTATTTATCCATGTAAAAACAAAGTGCATTATTTGTTATTAGTTAAAATAGTATCTAATTATGCACAGTTGGATATCAATGACATAAAAGCAATTATGGTGCAATCAAGCAAAATGGCATTGTTGGCAGGTTCCACTTTTCATTCCTAAATTACCACATTGGCAAAAATCAAGCCTTTATTATTAGTACCACTGTAAAGCCAATCAAATAGTCCATTTATATGGTCCCCTTTGGTGTCTCTCAAAAGTTGGTGCCCATACCTGGGGAGCATAATTAATTCACAGTGTTGTTTTTCAGTCTCTCCTCCCCAAGAAAACCTCTGAAGAATGGGGTTATCCTCCCAAAATTTAATAGGACCCAAAATCACTTTTATTAAGCTTCAATCTTCATCCATCAGAGTTTGTAATTTCTCACATATCCTTAATTATCAGGCTTCCTGGTAAATGATGCCATTGTGATAATTCAGTTCAGTGGAGTGCTCAAATTGTCTATTTTGATCAATTTTATCATGAGATAAACCAGAAATATAACTTGTTATGGTTTTGGTTTTAAATGTCCCCAAAAAGCCTATGTGTTGAAGGCTTGATTCCCCCCTGCAGCACGATTCAGAGGTGGATGTCTTTGGAAAGTGATTGGATCATGAGGGCTCTGACCACATGAATGGATCAATCTGTTTATAGATTTATATCTTAATAGTTTGGAGAAAGGACATTGTTACAAAAGTGAACTCTCTCTTTACCTTCTGGCTGCCACCTGTGAGCGACTTTGCTCTACCACATGCTCCCTGCATTATGTTCTGCCTTGCCACAGGCCTAAAAAGATGGAGTCAGCCAGCCATGGATGAAGCCTATCAAAGTGTGTGAGCCAAAGTAAATCTTCCCTCCCTCCCTTAAGTTGATTTTCTCAGGTGTTTTGTAATAGTGACAGAAAACTGACTAACATACACCTGAAAGAATTTAGTTTAATGAAAACCTTTCTAAAATATGTAGTGTATATTAAATATTTAATAAGTATGCTAATAAGACAATAACTAATATGCTAATACTAACACTATGTAGTGCTTTCTATGAGCCAGTCACTGTCTTTATAAATATTAATTTATTTAATCTTCACAGAAAATAAAGTAAATAGCTACTATTTTTCTTCTTTTACTGAAAAAACAATCACTAATTTTTTTCAGATTAGTTGACTTACCCAAGTTATAAGGATAGTAAATTCAAATGAAGATTGAAACTCAGTAATCCGGCTCCACCCATTTAACCACTGTAGGTTGTATTGCCAGTGTAGAGTTAATGTTTACATGTAAAAGTTCATTAATGATTTAACATCATAAATTATATGAGGACCACCATCATGGACATAAAATCCCATTGGAAAATAATGCAAATAAAGCAGGGTAAGAGGTCAAGTAAGGGCATGTGCTGGAGAAAGCAAGAAAGTGGTTTAGAGCTTGAGCTTGTTAATTTGGAGGTTTTAATAAAAGTATAAATAAAAAAGAACAAAAATTGCAATAATTCCTACCATTATCATCATTTTAGAGGGTATCTTGCAAGTCTATTTTTGTATACTATAGATGCATTTTTAAAATGCAAAGGCAGTTTATAGTTTAGAGATCATGTGGATTCTGAAAAAGAAATAGAACTTTCCCAAAAATTCTAGACTTGTTTCCTTATCTGCAAAAAGTATATCATTAGAACTTATACTCATTGAATCATAGGGAGATATTTTATACAAAGTACTGAGTATAATGTTTGGCACATAGAAAGCACTTCACAAAAGTTAGACATTGTTATTAGTATCAACTTTACAAAGCATTTTCAACTTATATTCCTACCCAAATACAGATTTTGATTTTTTCTCACTTTATTAAACATTCTTCAAAATAATTTTATTTTTTTATTTTATTGATACACAAAACATGAAAATTATACATGTTAATGAGGTGCCATGTAATGTTTGATACATATATACATTGGATATCGTTTGAATAAGGTTGAGCATCTATCTCCTCAAACCTATACCATTTATTGGTGGTGAAAACTTTCAAAATCCTTTCTTGTTTTTTAGTGTACAGTATATTATTGTTGTCTATAGTCACCCTACTGTACAATAGCACACCAGAACCTCTTGCTCCTGTCTAACTGTAACTTAATACCCATTGATCAACCTGCCCCCATCCCACCCCCATTCTCCAGCCTCTGGAAGCTAGCATTCTACTCCCTTCTGTGAGATCATTTTTAGATTCCACATGAATGAGATAACCCAGTACTTGTCTTTCTGTATTCACCATAATTATCTCCAGTTCCATCCATATCGTTGTAAATTAAGGAGTTTTCTTCTTTTTATAGCTGGATAGTATTTCATTATGTATATGTACCATATTTATTTAGGTTTTATGTACTATTTTTATTTAGGTTTCAAGTATGGAAATCGGAATTTTTTCCTATGCTTTTTTTCCTGACCTCAGTTTTCTTCATGATCACCTTGCTTATTTATGTACACTTAATAACCACTTCCCTATCATGTTAATATCACAAATTTAAAACTACTTTTCCCCTCTGTTTTTAACAGTAACAATAGTTCATAAGAAGGCATTTGATCTGGTTCTTCATCCTGACACCTTTTTAAGCAGCAATATCTGTGCATCTCTCTAATGGATTTCATCAGTTTTCCCACCCTAAAAGGGTCATCTCTACTTGTTTAGTTTGGGGAATTGAGATTGAGTCTGTCAAAGATTTTTTGGATCTTTGTCCAAATCTTTAAACTCAAGATAAAAAGTAAAGATTTAGATTTAATGTTATTTTTCATTAAGAGTATAAATACTAACCAGCCTGGGTCATTGAGTCAAAGGTCACTAAGCCAGAACTAAAGCCAGAGGCAGTGACAGAGGGAAGAACAGTCCTCAGGCTGGAGCTGAGCTCCTGTGTTTGTTGAGCAGCCAGGAATTAGCTGCAGCAGTGCCCCAGTTCTGTTTGGCATGTTTGTCCTCATGAGGAGCCAGATGAGGCTCTTTGCAACAGATGTCTGTGTTCCTTGTAAGCCAGGAATAAAAGCATCCTTTGCCCCACAGAGTGTGGCATGTCACTGGGGTACATGTCCTCTCCTTGTCACCCTCGGTCAGGCTATCACATCACTAATCCTTCTAAATAGGGAATGGGGAGGAGGTTCTTCCAAGAGCTCTCCTTCTTGACTTTCCAGTCTTCAGATGGAGAGCCTGGATTCATATGAGTCTGTCCTCCATTTCAGACCTCTCTGTGCCACAACCAACAATAATTCTAGCAAATTGGTGCCACCCTTTCATATATTCCATTATCGGTTTCCAATACTTGTATTAGACTCTTTTATATTCATGTAAGTGGAAATCCAGGGAAGTGATGGACTTTTTGCCTGCATTCCATTAGTTTCTTGTCCAGGAATCCCTTAATTTCTCTCTAACCTGCACTTAAGGAAGTGCTACTGTACATTGCTAATGGGGTGGGGAGGAAGCACTTCAATCTTCTTTGGGAAATGCAAGCGAAAATGAACTCCTTTACTTAAGGAGCTTAGCCACAGAATTTTTCTAATTTAATATGAGATATTCCCAAGCTGTCTTTCTTTTTCCGGTTGAGAAAAACAAGGCAGAGAAATTCAGATGAAGGCTATAGCAGGAACTACACAGACCTTTTTAACTTACTGGACTTGTTAAAGAATAAAACTTAGTCTCTTCTTTCAGTCTATGCAGGTATAATGCATTTCCTCTGGTTTGAGACAAAGGGTTGCTTCCAGGTATTGAAAGACCATAAACTCTTGAATTTTGGGCCTGTTGATAGAATTAGAATAAAATTGTATTGATAAGATGGTATTCCAATATAAGAGTATTAAAGAAATGTGAAGGATTAAGGAGAAATGTAACCAAATGTATTCAGCAATTCTTTCTAGTTAGAACCTGCAGAATAATCATTTGCTTTATTGGTTTCTCTTTCTTAGGTTTCACTGTGTTAACAAAAATATTATTTCTGGTGAGAAAAACTTATAATTATATTGGTATGACTCTCCTATGCAAAATCTATGCCTTGCAATTCATGCCAGAAAATCAGAAACAGTTTCTTGGTCGAGTGCTGGGCAGGGGATATTACAGGGATAACGTGGGAAGTAGGAATGTGGGCAGAGTCCGTTGAAGCAGCAGGATGGTGACCAGCCTGAGTTCCCCTTAGTTCTGCCACCACCCAGACATGAGACCACATCCTCACCTCCTGTTCCCTTCTCAACCCTCATCATTATGTTTTTCAACTTTCACCTCATGAATTAGTAAATTTGAATTGGTGGTCATGTGAAAAGAAATTTTTCAAGTAAGTCTTGATAAGCAAACTCTCTAGTTAAGTTTACTGTCTGCTATTCCTGGAGCAAGTATTTCCTAGAGCAAGCAACTACATTTTGGTAGGTGGGATTCTGGTCCTAGTATTGTTGAGCACAGAGAACCCCCTCTCTCTAATCTGCTACCCTCCAACCTACACACAGTAGTCAAGTAATCATTTCAAGTCACAAATCTGTTGACATTATTTTCCTGTTGTCTAATTGTTATTGTTTTTAAATTCCCTCCTATAAATGGTGGGGGTGGGAGGAATGCAGTCCCTAAAGAATTTTGCATTCAGAAGTTGCATGGTTTGGTCCTAACTTTTCTTTCAACCTCATCACTCTCCTGTCTATTCCTTAAGTGCCACATATGCTAACATACATAGGGTATTTTTGTTTCTCTCTCTCTCTTTCTCTCTCTCTCTCTCTCTCTCTCTCTCTCTCTCTCTCTCTCTCTCTGTCTCTCTCTTCAAATATTTACATTTCTTCCCTTAGTCAATTGAAAAAATGTCCAGCTTTTCTTCAGAGTTGAGTGTAAATGTCATTTTGAATTTTCCTTGATGCCCTCCCTGGTCCTTCATAAATCTTTTACATACCTGTATTTATTTCTATCAAAACTCTTATCAATTGCCTTGTAATTATCTGTATCCTCATCTCCCTCTCCCAGTACATTGTCCACCTCTTGAGAGCAGGGACTATGGAGTTCATGCTTTCATTACCACTATTTAACATGGTGTCTGGCACATAGTATACCCAGACTTCACTCCCAGCACACAACTGTTTCTGGAAAAGGTAAAAAGTAGGACCTTGAGGAGGCAAAGAAGACCTCCCAAGATGAGAGGTTGTTAAAAGTGAGAAGAAGGAACCAAGAGGAAGGACAGGAAATCTTCACCATCAACATGAAGGGCACATTCTAAAGATCAATGGTCTGTGAAAATCATTTTTATGTAAGAAACACAAATGACTTAAACAAATGCAGCAGATGTACACTTTTATAAGCACAAAATTCACATATGTAAAATATAATTTTATTTTGATTATCTATTTCGATCTCTAATGTCAAACAACATAATCAATAATTCTGTGGGTTTTCTCAATCCAGTCCAGGAATTTGGGGCATTTCTAAGATTCTCCCCCTCCTCCATTGCTTTCCTCGGAAGTCAGGATGAATTCCCAAGGGCCAGCTTTAGCAAAGGAGCTTTGGTCCACCTGCCATCCTCTGTCCTGGCTGGCATCTTCCAGGGATGCTTGATCCACCTGGTCTTGGCTCTGAACTCTGTTGCATCTGCTGTTGAAGAATTCACATCCCAACCTGCCCTTAGATGTCAGCTCCAAGTGCCCTAAGCCTTCTACCAAACCATCAGTGGTCAGCCAAACATCTATAATTCAGGCCTGGGATTTTTTCTTCTCCTTTTGTTGGTCACATAAGTGAACTGAAAAAGAGGCACTGGTGTAACCACCACAGAGGCCAAAACAGGGATCTGAGCTAATCTGGCTATCATTGTTCACACCCTCTGGTCCTGCTCAGGCGTGATCCCATGGACTGTTCTGCTTTCCAAAGACTTCTGCTCTGCCTGTCTTTACTCCTCAGTAGCTCTGACAGACCCAGTTTGTAATAGGAAATTCCACATATATCAGCACTCAGTGCCTCGTATTCAAGTGTTACTTCTCTACCAGAGACGAGTAATGCCGAGGACTGTTTCTCAAAAAAGTGTGCAATTCTCTGCTGTAGACAGCACAGCCACGCTCTTGGACACTGGGGACCTATCCTGTGATTCTTGCTCTGGAACTTGCCATAAACATCACAGTGAATCTTTGCCCACCACCAACACCTCCAGCGCTTCAAGTGGTAGGACTGCTCACACAGCAGTCTGGATCTGCTACAGAACCCTTTCCTGTTCTAGACCCCTCTCAAAGATGGGCACCTTCCATTTTACTTATAACCTGGAGAAGTTTCCCTTAATACGAAATATGTTGTCTCAGAACCCAAAAGGCTTATCAGGCCTTTATGTTGTAGTAGGGATACAAGGTGCACCAATTTGTCTTGGAGAAGGCATCTTGGCATGCCTCTGATACTGGGCCCCTGAAAGCATTACCAAAGTCCAAGATCCCTGAATCTTCATATGGCTTGTCTCCTACCCTCTGGAGTACATGTGCCACCTCTTGCTAATTCTGCCCAATCAACATGATATAATGGATCAGTGTGATTTTCTGCAGGATAATCACACAGTCCCCTCTTTGGACTATATTTTAATAGAGGGTAGAAGAGTTAACATAGCTCTATGGCTGAATTTTAAATAAGTTTATCACCCAGCCCACATGAATATGAATAATTTCTGATCCTCTGTTTTGATTAAAATGAGAAAGAGTATTTGCCAAACCAACAGCCAAATACTGTATGCCTGATGAGGAATACTACTTGGTTGAACTTGACATTCTCCAGGATCCAGCAAGTTTCTGCAGGACCATATTAGCAAACTAAATGAGGCCATGACAAGGACCACCACCCCTGCATTCTTTTTATTTATTTATTTTTAATATTTTTAGTTGTCAAGGGACCTTTATTTTATTTATTTATATGCAGTGTTGAGAATTGAACCCAGTGCCTCACACATGCTAGGCAAGTGCTCTACCACTGAGCCACAACCCCAGCCCCCTGCATTCTTTAGATTTTAACTGAGGCAGTAAACTTTTTTCATTCTCTTGGGCAGAAAGACTAGGTTTTATTCAATATCTTTGATGGCTCTTTCAGGAGTTTCATCTTCATTTTCTTCTCTTTGCTAGCTTTTATCCCACAAGAAAAGAATCCCAAATGGGTGTTACTCCATTTTAGCCAGGATTTCACTTCTTGTCTGGCTCCAATATGCCCCTACTCTAACAATGAGCCCCTGATGATACTTCCAGTGTCTATATTCCAATATCAGCTCACACCGTGTTTCAAATAGCCCTCAAAATATTTATGAACTGCTCTTTTTCCAGTGTACAATTACTCTATTAAATTGCCATAGGTTTTTGTTTTTTGTTTTTGGTTTTTGGTTTTTTTTGGGGGGGAATCATTGAAATATATACCTGTCATGTTATTGCAGAATTCTTCATTTTGGAGACCAAGTCACTTTATTCAATGGATTTCAGATAAGAAAGTTGTCTCAAAACTGAGAACTGAGCAAGAATCATGAGCTCTCATTAAGACAATTGCCCTCTGTCTCCCAGTCAACCGTCCTTCATTTCGTCTGAGAGCACAAATTGAGTAGTACCTTTATTTGCTACTATTTTGCCTTAGTGGTGCTGTATTCTATTAATCATCTTTGAAACTTTCTGAGGGTCAGGCTCCCTTGGCTGTCATGCTAATAATTATGATCAAATTACAAACACTACCCCTTCAATCAGGCGCTGAAGAATAAATTGCTGTTCCTTGACCTATATTACTTTAGGGTCCTATTATCCACATTGCTAACAGTGAGTTTTCTTTAAAAGGATTTTTTACCAACAGCCTTACCCTCTAAGGACACGCACCCTGAATGCCAATGACATGTTCTCTCACACATTACTAATGGTCTTTGTGAAAGGGCTTTTCTCTGGATCCTCCCATGGAACATCCTTTGAAGTGTTTTTTGAATTCCCATAATTTACCCATTCTAACCTGCCTACTTCCTTAAGTCTCTAAATTTCTTCCTTCAACATCTGTCCCAGTGACTAAGGCATCTTAGCTTTGCTCAGTTTGGGTATCACTTTCTCCAGACTTCTGTGAATACCAGTAAATGTGTCCCATCATCTGGGGTCTTTGCCAAGATGTTAAGTGCTGTATCCTAAGAAAGTGTCTCTCTGTCAACAAATTCTTATTTATACAGTCTCTCCAAGTATCTTTAAAAATCCAATCATCAGGGTGCTCTCCTGGTTCTGTTGGTACAAGCTAGTTAATTCTCACACTTTCTCCAGGGTGTAATCTCTTTCCCTGCTTATCAGACCCAACATGCCTCCAACTGGGTTATGCTAGAATTTAACCTAGTTATATACCTGGCAGCCAGCAGAGGACCTGGGGTTGTTCCTGAAGAGAGTACTTGCCAGCATGCTGAGAGCAACCCCAGTGTCTCGAAGCATGTGGAAGTATCAGCTCTCTAGGGTAAGGTGTGCTGTCCTGCAGAACTGAAGGTTTGGGGGAGACCAGAGAGTCAGATTCCTCAGAAGCATCCACCCAGTTGTCCTCATCCCTTTTGGGGGGTTCCATGTTTTCCACTCAGGGTAAATGAACGTAACAGATGTAACAAATCTGCCTTGCTTGAAGACTTCTATGTCTTTGGGGATCTTTAATTCTATCAATCCCTGAATCTGTCCCTCAGTTATGTCAGCTTTTCTCTGCAGGAGACAATGGCCTGGTACATAGAAGGTTCTATTTGTTAAATGGATGGATGCATGCATGCATGGATGGATGCATGGATTGATGGCTAGTAGAAGAATGAATGACACTGG